AGGAATCGCTCGATCGGGTTTAGTTAACAGCCATTGATTGATCGCTCGGGTTGAGTAACGCGTAGCTTGCAGTGCAATCGCTCGGGTTCAGTTAGAGCCCAACGCCTCGCTCGGGTTCAGTTAGAGCCAACGCCTCGCACACACATGCGCGTACGTGTATGAGAGAAACGCGAATTGCCAGCCCCCGACCTCCCACCGTTACCGGGAACTCCCCGAAATTTTCCTGCCCCTCGCTTCTACCACGGTTTTTTCTGTCATGGACGGCCCAAAGAATGCATGCAGCTGCGTCTCCGGCCCTCCCAGGACGAAAAGCCCATTTTCTGCCATGATTTTTTGTCATAGAAGTAGGAGCCCACCACATCTATGATGATACCGGGTTTTGTCACAATTATCGTCATAGAAGTGTCATATGTATGACAGAAATTTTTTTCGTTCGGCCCAAAATGTCACGGATGTGTCTTTTTTTTGTAGTGACAACGCCTTGCGACCAAGCTCAACGTCAACAAGCACCCTATGATATTCAACATTGGAGACCTCGTGTGGCTACACCTTCGCAAGGACCACTTTCCACAAGAACGCAAGTCCAAACTTCGACCACGCGTGGATGGACCATTCAAGGTGCTTGCACGCCGAACTTCCACTTTCTATGCATGAGACATGGCTACTACCTAAGTCCGAGATGTTGTGCATGATTAGGTACCAAGAGGGTCATCCCGAAGATGCGCATGAAGACGGACAACTCCCCAAGTCCACGAATGAGGAGAACCAACGGAAGGAGCCAAGAGCATCTCCCAGGCCCCGGACATCCAGCCAAGGCCCTGGACATCTGGCCCCTGGAGCGCCTTCCTCTACTGCTGCTCAGCCACCAAGTGCCTACAGGCCCCGGACATCCGGCCCCGCAAACCCGGACATCCGGCCCTTCCCGAGGTCCCGGATATCCGCCCCCCTGCCCGGAAATCCGGATACCCCCAAACCCGAGAGCAACATGGCCAGCTTCACCAGCCCGAACATCCGGCCTCCACAGCCCGGACATTTGGCCCGACGCCCGGACGTCGGCCTCCCTGTCTGCGCACAGTAAAGGCCCGAGGCCCGTGTACCCCTTCTACCCCCTAGACTATATATACTCCACCTCGTCCAACTTTCTAGGGTTAGCAAAGGATTAGCTCATATTTTGTGTGAGAGCTTTGCTCATCCACTTGGTTACCTTCTCCTCGAAGATTCGAGCCTCCACCGGAGAAGATCCCCCAAGCGGATTCAAGACCCCTCTTTAGGGAAGAACATCAAGACCTCCTCACGGAGAAGAACCGGTTACCCTTTTGTATCGTCCCTAGTTGATCGTGGATCGTGTATCTTACTTTATGTACTCGAGGATCTAGCCCATGTGTGACTTGTTCTTGTTACTTTGAGTGTTCCTCTCGTGTTTCCCCTTGTGTTTTCCCTCGTTCCCCTCTTTGTGTTCCTCGTGTTCTTCGCGGGATCCGCTCTTTTCGTGAAAGATCGGCCGATTAGGGTTCCACCCTACATCATCTTGGTAACACATGCTATATGTAAGTTAGTCAAATAATAATATGTAAGAAAACATAAAATATAGCTATGAAAAAAGCAAAAAAAATATACCGACGGCAAAGCCGTCGGCATAGTTGCGGCCAGGGCAGATGGCCGGCGCGGTGCGGATCGATGATGTGTCATCTATGCCGATGGCAGCCGTCGGCATAGGCCTTGGTCGGTGCGCTTTGGATCGATGACGTGGCGTTCGTATGAATGCCGACGGCCGCCCGTCTTCGCCGTCGGCATAGATCTGACGCCATTAGCCGCCCGTCACGGGCGTGGTCGCCGGCCCCGCAGCTATGCCGACGGCCGATATATGCCGACGGCAGCTGTAGGCATAGATTCGTCTATGCCGACAGCCGTTCTTTGCCGACGGGGGCCGTCGGCGTATACTGGGATAGCCTGACGGCCGTTGTACGTCGACGGCCTGGGGCCAGCTGTCGGCATAGTCTAGAATAGGCCGACGATGGATGTCGGCATACTTTTGGCCGTCGGCATCGAGCCCTGTTCCGGTAGTGCACAGACCGCACCGGCGCTCCTCCTTCCTCCAAAGATCCGACATTGCACTCTGATGTTACTGAGAAGGTTGCATCCATGTCATAAAAAGAAACGAATCGACTTACTCCTACCTCATTATGCACAGGTAACTGATGCTGTTGTTGTACCCTTTAACAAGTGGAGCTCCTCTGCTCTCTTCTGCTTTGTTGTGGACACCCATCCTTGCTGGTGTAGAGCAAACTGCAGAGGCCCTTTGAGACGGTGCTATGAACAACCAGGCCGGTTCGAGCTACGATATCACAAACCAAGAGGTAGAGGCAATGAAGCTCGAGAGGTCCAAGCGAGGAAGCATCTTCTGTTGCAGAGAAGCAAGATGACAGAGACATACAACATATGTTAAGAGGTCAGTCGATGAGCGCAGGGCAAAAGATAATCAGGTAACTGGGCGCATGTAGGCCTAGGAGCCATTAGAAACTATATATATCCGATTCCGCGGCAACACACCGGATATCGTCTAGTTCACCCATGTACGAGGGAGTGGTCATCAGCGACAACGAGATGGGGAGGTGGGGCGCTAGGGCTAGGGTAAGCGAGAAAATCATTTATCGGAAAAATATTTATTTATTTCAGGTGACTGACATATAACCGCTCCCATTAAACGTGTGTATGAAACTACCAGTGCTAGTTTATGGCAGCAACAAATTGTCCGTCTACTCGAAGGCCCATGCCTGTTCACTGCGGACCTCGGCCTCCTCCTCCTTGGTGTAGTCGTTGACGATGTTGAAGTGCGCGCGCATGCCCTCGACCGTCTTGCCCCTCATCTGGTCCGCCACCGTCTTGCAGGCCAGGTCAAGGAGGCCCTGCACCTCGAGGTAGTTGGCGGCGAGGAGGAGGTCGAAGAGCGTGTCCTGGTCGACGCCGCTCACGAAGTCGGTGTCGAACCGATCCAGGTCGGGGTAGCCCGACGAGAAGGTGGTCTTCACGACGTACGCGGCCGCGTCGGCGTCGCTGTCGCCGTAGTGGCGTTTGCAGTAGTCGACGACGCGGGCGAGGATGCGGCCCGTCACCTGGGTCAGCGGGATCGCGCCGGCGGCGCAGCCGTCCTCCAGCATGTTCTTGATCAGCACCGACGCCGCCGCTATCGTGTCCGCCTGGACCACGAACTCCTCGCCGTCCGAGCTGCGGAGAGTCACCGTCGTCGTGTTGTCGCTGCTACTTGCCATCTCGATCACTGATCTCCTATCCTACGCGCGCGTGTGTCTATCGATCTGTCGAGATCGCTAGCTCCTGTCGAACTAGCTAGGTCTTTCGATCCAGCGATTGATCGATGGGTGGGAGTAACAAGGGAGACGCGGCGCCCGAATATATAGAAGGGTAGGGAAGTCGGCGCCGGCTTTTTTGGGTTGCTTTTAATCCGAATTTGTATCAATACATGACATACAATAATGCCCAGGAGCGTTTTTGTTGAATAAAGTTTTTTTTGAGGGAAAAACCAAGCTTTATTCATCAAAAACCACAGAGTGTGGGATACATCTTTGGTTATGGGATTGGCCAAACCAAACGTGGCGTCCCGGACCAAGAGTAAGCGAATGCCTGGCTAAGCTATGAGCTTCTACATTTACTCTACGACTTTCGAATTAAAAAATGCAATTAAAAGTTTCTGCCTGCAGTTTGATCTTCCTAATGATGGCACCATATCTTCCATCTGAACCCTTCTGAATATCTCCTATAACTTGCTTGCAATCAGAAGCAATAACCATATTGGATATATGAAGGTCCTCCCCAAGTGCAAGTGCTTCTCTGACTGCCATTGCCTCCAACGTGGCCGGGTCCTGTATCCCCGCGACCACCAGTGAAGAACTGCCAATGAAGATTCCGTTGCAATCCCTGCACACTGCAGAAACCGAGCCGCCCCTTCCCCGACGAACTGCAGCATCTACATGTACTTTATGGTACCCTGTCGGTGGCGCACTAGGGCGCTGGCCATGGCCCTGAATATAAGGCGCAGCGCTTCCAGAAGGAGGTTTGTCCGAGATGATTGATAACTCTTCTATAAACCGAGTGATAAACGAATAAGTTGCATGGGGACTTTGAAAAATACCTTCATGGATAGCCTTCCTGCGAGCATACCATATCGCCCACAAAGTAACAGCAAGCTTAACAAACAAGTCATGGGATAAAGTTTTCTGAATTCCCCGAAAAAGAAAAAGAGCCGGGCATGGCAACCGGCCCACCAGCCCAACAAGCGACCCTAAACGTCTGCCAATGTGGGCCGGACCAGATACATGATCTTATGCTCCTTCATCTTGCGCTTTTATGTCTAGCTTATTATTGTCAGACCTAGGAGAACCTCGCCTCCAGAAGCGTCCACAATGGGAAACGCCATGAAAAAAAACTTTGAAAAATAAGGAAAAAACAAAGAACAACAGAAAAAAATATGAAAGAAACAAATAAAACCGGTGAAAAAACAAAGAAAAACAGAGGACTGAAGGAAGCCGGTGAGGAAATAGAGGAAAACACAATAAAAAAAAGGGCAAAAAAAACATCGGAAGAAATTTGTACATAAACCACCACGACCAATCTTCTCCATCGAAAGAAGTGAAAGGAAAAAACATACAAAACAAGGGCTGACCCAGTACTGTAGCAGGGCGAAAATGCTTCAGATGAGACCAAACGAACATTTGCTGTAAGTGAGATATAGTCTTGACGTGGCGCACCTGTGTGTCGCTTATAGGGAGACCAAAAAAGTCTCACATGAAACGGGTGAGAATGGGCTGGCCAAGCAGCAGGTGGTCCAGAAGCTTTAAGCACCTGTTTTTCGCTTTCCATTTTTTACTTCTGTTTATATTTTGAAATATTTCAAACATATATATTATAAACATCAGTTCACATAAAATCATGAATAAATGTTACTTATGCATTTGAAACATGTTAAACTTGTATTCAAAAAATGATTCTAATGTATACAAAAAATGTACAACATGTATGGCAAAAAGTACACCTCAATATATATATATATATATATATATATATATATATATATATATATATATATATATATATATAAACATGTTAAACGTGTATAAAAAATGTTTCTGATGTATACAAAAAATGTACATGTACGGAAAGAAGTAGATATCAAAATAAACTGAAAAATGGTTGTGTTGCGTTAACAAATGTTGCTGCAACTTTTAAAATATATGATAGCATTTACAAAAATCCAACATGTATTTGTATTTTTAAAACATATTGAAACAAAAGTGTTCAAAGACATGTGTTTCAAAAAAATGTTAATCACTTATTTGAAAATTTTAAACATATACGAAAAATGTACTCCCTGCGTTCCTAAATATAAATCTTTTTAGAGATTTCAATATGGACTACATACGGAGCAAAACAAGTGAATCTACATTCTAAAATATGTCTATATGCATCCGTATGTAGTCCATATTAAAATCTCTAAAAAGAAGATATTTAGAAACGGAGGGATTACATTGCGTATGGCACAAAGTAGACACAAAAACATGTATTGGAAAAAAATCTTAATTATTATATATAAAAATGCAAAATAATATATTTAAAATTAGTTAATGGTGAATAACTTTTTCCTAGATGTATACGTAAAATGTACACATCAAAACACACACATTTTGAAAAAAAAACTTAACCATATACTTTGAAAATGTCGAAAACGTATAAAAATATAGTTTCATATGTATAAGAAAAATGTACACGTGTATGAAAAATATCAAATTATATATTATAATAATGTTAAGGATGCGACCGAATATTTTTGATATATGCAAAAATGTACATTGTATGTAAATAAATTAGGCATTTTTTGAAGAGAATAAAATTTAAAATCAATGAAAACCGAAGAAAAAAAAGAAATAAACAAAGAAAACCAGAGAAAAAATGTAAAAGAAAAATTATAAATAAAAACTGATGAAGAAACAAAGAAACTGAGGGAAAAAAGAAAAACAAAAAAGGAAACACCAAAGAAAAACTAAAGTAAATAAAGAAAGAAACAAATAAAAAACATGGACACCCAAAATAAATAAAAAGACCAGGCGGACGAGCAAAGCACAACGACAGTGAAGGACTGAACAAAAAATTGGCCTGACCGGTACTGTAGTGGACATGGAAAATATTTGCGTAAGGGGAGCATAATTCTTGCTGCAAGCGAGTTATAGCTCCACGGAAAGGGAGCTCCCGGGAAAAGCTAGGGCAGAAATATATCTCGCCATTAGTAAACGAGTGGCTCCTTTCACCTTCACAAGATATGCCAGGCCCAGCCCAGGCAGGCAGACCTGACAATACATGTTTTCTCCAAGGCAGAAAACCTAGGCATTTAATCGCTAATGTGATTCATCTTTTTTAATATATATTTTCTGTTTTTTCTTATATTTATGCATATACTTTGAAATATCATAATTATACACACATTATGAACATATATATTACTAATTTTTAAAAAATATTATAATAGTACATAAATTACGTAAGTAACGGGAATCAAGTTAAGAGATATTAGGCTGGTCACGTGTTGAGACAATGCATTATCTACATGATTAATGTGACCCCCCCCCCCCTCCACCACCACCACCACCACCACACACACACACACACGCATGGCCTTCCATTTTCTCCAACTTCTGAAAGCTGATGTTACACAAAGAGACACCAAGTTCAACGATCAACCTGGATACACCTTAAATCTGATCCAATCACCGGGAGAAAATTAGCAAAGGGAATAAGCACCACACTCCAAACATTTAATCACACATGCACTGCATTGCATATTCCCTGCAATATATATGAAGTCAAATGTACATAACCAGGGAGATAGATTTTAGTACAAAAATGTTAGACTAAATAAAAAAACCTGATTTTTTGACATTGTGTCTATTCATGGATTTTATATGCTTGCAATGTTAACGACGAAAAGACATATGTTGTTTCTTGGAAAAAGGCAAAGAGTAAAAAACCTTATTTTGGAGGACCAATTTTCTTTAGACAGGCCTCATAAATACATGATAGTCAATTGGCATAAACGTTTCTCATTTTATGTTTGTTAATCAGATTGGACGAATATTTGTGAATTTTTTGATAAAGATGAATGTATGGGAATATTAGTATCTCAACCAATTGTTGTCTGAACAACAATAAGATTCTTCTACATTATTAGGAACACTATCAAATATGAGATAAATAGATGTTGCAAGTCATGGCAAGATGCATGGTACTTAGTGCTAAGCTTCTATCATCATACAAACAAGGTATCATTGAGCATGTTTGGATTGTACAAAATAATTCATGGTCAGTTTCCTGAAAAAAATAACATCAACGTAGTGAAACAAACAATGGTACTGAGATAAAGAGAATAACTAAAGGAAACATGTAGAACAAAACCTGCCATATTTGTATTTCCATGCTTCTAAAATCTGAACGGACAGAATGTGCACATTAATTTCACATAGAACACCAACCCGGCATACCGACTTTATGAGTGTGGTACAAGTAGCAAGTAGCAACCACCAATAGCATTATCGAAATCAAAGTTGCAATCTTAATTCCTACAAGTTCACAAATAATAACTATACTCAATTAGCACAACATTACTATGAATGCAATATTTATCAATCTGGTGTTCATATGAAGAAATGACTACCTGGTGAGAAGAATTATGAGGTAACAACCATGAATCCTACGATTATTTGGTAACACATGTTCATACTTTTCCAATGCATACAACCATTAATTGCACCGAAGACCAACCTAAACTCATGTAAGTTATCCATACTTCTAAAGCTTGTTGATTTCTTCAAACATGAGCTGGGACCTAGCATATCAACTAAGAAAACCTCATATCCATCATAATCACGCACTAGTAATGCTAGATCTGAAGTTAAATCAAATTTGTAGTTTATGCCATATAACCTACCAAAATGTGTAAGAAACAAAACAAAGTTCAACATGGCGGAGCAACTAAATCACTAAATCAGTAGGTCCTATTTTACACAAAAGCGTAACATGGGGTGAGGCAACATTAAATATGTGTATTATGAAATGTTAGATTTGTAATAGTAGGGAGTGTTTGGACATTTATAATCATGCCTTCCTCCTGTTGTTTCTAGTTAGTCCTCAAATTCATTTATAAGATTTTGCACCCAAAGCATATAATATACTAAATACTAGAGAGCAGGATCGTTTATCTGATTTT